CCTATTTTCCTTCCTAGACTTCTCAAAACTGATCTTCGCGTTCTACGCTGAGCTCTCAAGTTAACAGCAGATAAGGACTGCTCTGATCTCGAATTTCTCGTGAAACAACGCATACAAAACTTCCTAAAAGCATGTCTACGCTTGAACACCGGTATTCTCTTAAACGGCAACCATCCAGTTCTACTGTCATGCATTTCCCTACATTCCGGTACAAGATCAAAAATACTTAATATCTACAGTTGGACGTAACAGAAAAGAAATTCAGTTATTTCCACCTCGGTTCGCATCCTGAAGAACACATCGTCACTAGCTGACAATTGATGCAAACAACTACTTAATTTAACAACTGTTTAACATGTACTCACGCATTTCGCTTTATTTTTATGTGCTGAAACACGTGGCTGTGAGCCATATGTTCGTATATTATCATACAATACAATTAATATGGTAAAATAAATAGAAATGACATCTAACATCATTGGACATTTCCTCGTGCGACTGAGATGATTTTCCCGTTTGGAATATCATACGGATAAGAAGTTCCAGAAAGTTTAAAAGGTAAAAACTGAAAGTAGACAAAAATATCTAGGATATGTTCAGCAGTTATTTTCTTCAGTAAAAGGGACAAATCTGACAAGTTTCCAAAGATTTCAGGGGCGGCAATGACGATTCGCGCAGGCCGTTTCTGCGCGAGACGCTTCGCGCCGACGATGGTCACTATCAACGTGCAACGCGTTTGATTCTATATCATCGAACTATGGTCATCTCGATCAACTATAAAATCCAACCCAACAAGTTACATATCTATGAGAAGCTCTCCGTGTGAACAATGTGAAACTACTGTCAAACTAATGAATGTCTAAGATTTCGTCCATCAAGGGATGTGCATTATTTATATATTAGTAAATAATGCAACACCGAAAAGTCTGTCAAATTAGTTACCAAATTGACCAATTATTTCAAAAAATTTAATTTTGTGAATATAATTTACGTGAAAGTCAACTCTTCATGAAAACACAACGAGCTGATGTACAAAGTAACATTATTTATATAGCAAAATTTCATGTGCAATATACCTTTCATAGCTATGCGCTAAGCCATGCACGTAAGTAAAATCACTATTATGATAGTCATTCACAATGGATACTATCGTTTCGTCCGCATGCCGATATTCTTTCAATTTTACTGGATACTGGATATTATCCAGTTCTCGCAGCTAAAATAATGGAGTTATAAAATAAAACGCAAAATCTTAGAAATTCATTAGTTTGACAGAAGTTTCTCATTCTTCTCAAAGATATATAACTTGCTGGTTTAGATATTGCAACTGATCGAGATAACCACAGCTCGATCATATAGAATTAAACGTTGATTGATAATCACTATCGATCGGCGCCGAAATGGCCGCGCTGAATCGCCCCATTCCTTTCAAAGGCATCTGATTAAACCTGTGACATGTAATCCCCTGACTGTTTCCTTACGACCTAACACCAGCACGACCATATTAACGATTCTTATTGTCATTCCAAAAATTGAACCTCGTGCAAATGCTGCCGCTGCAGCAAGCAGTGGATTTATAATATAAGCTGTCTTGCCCTGAAGAAATGGACGAAATCGCATATCTGTACTCAGTTATATTTACCCATAAACGAATAATCCTGCGTTGCGTCAAATAAAACGAATTTTATCTTACTTTCCGGTTAAAGTTGCTACAATAAACTAAACGTAATAAATCATTTCATATTACTGGCTGTATGACAAACGTTATATGGACAAACTGTTCAGTCAATCCAAAATGAAGAAATGGATTCCTCAACTACACTAATATAGAAAGTACGCTCGACCAGATCTGACAACACCGAACTGCAGATACTGGTAAAATTTCCTTGCAGGAAACACGGACGACTAAATGAGCATGCAGTGCCAGATGAAACTAAATGACAGATTTGCCTGAGCATCCCTCAGTCTGAGGAAAAATGAGATCGGGCGTGAAACAACAGCCACCGCTAAGGATGCCGTAGCCTCACAGTCTCTGCGGATTAAGGGAAAAAAACCTAAATGCAGTTATAATATAAAGAGTACGTCCATACATTTTCCCAGTCGAATCTGCAGCCAAGTCTCTTCAGCTGAAACTTCATTTCAGCTATATTTCTAAATACTGAATAAGTCGGGTAGCTGTGAATCGTAACCTATTACTTATTGGTCCAAATAAAAGGATCTTCGTTTTTCTCAATTGCCGCGTTTTCAGCGGGTAATCCGAATGCATCCCACCCCATTGGATGAATAACCTGAAACCGAAAAGTTTAGCGCAGAATGGTCTACAAAATTTTAGCTACTCATCACGTTATATTTATTCAAGTCATAGAACCGGGCAATGCAATCAGATGTAGCGTAGACGCGCACATGGCCCATGTGCAAATTGCCAGACGGATATGGAAACATGGAGAGAATATACTTTTTTCCAATTTTACCCTAAAACACAGAACGGCATCATTGCATAACATGCCAAAATGTAAATTACTGCAATTTCCTGGCTGCTTCTAATTTCTTCCTTCCAATGATTTTCAATTTCATGCATCTGACATAGAGACAGAGAACAAGTCTAGAACAAAACTGATACATAGCTGAGACGACCGTTACTACCATTTCTGACGGTCAGACATTAGAAATCTGGGTTACTCTGCTGTTTAAGCTCAGATGATGGTGACAAAACAAGAAAAACGACAAACCATTACTAACAAGAATATGAATCTTAGAATTCCGACATAACTGGTCACAGGTCCTGGTAGATAAAAAAGAATGAAGGTTGAAGCCTTCCGGAAGTTAGCACACACTTCTGACATTTTAGCGCCCAGACGGTCAGCTGGTGAAACCAGCATTCTGCCCAGATAAACTCCCATTCGCATCCTTTCACCATGACGTAATTAACTAACAGGAAAACATTTTTGCCTGAACGCAATTCTTATACTATATAACGTAACCATGTAGAACATTCTGAGATTCTTTCGTGCTGGGTACCGTCCCCAACTCTGCAAATGGATCGTTCATCCAATAATCGGGCTGAGAGGCCCGTTTGGGAAGTATGTGCACACAGCCGAAAGACTTCCGTATTGCTTTGTCATATTTTCTTGTCTCGTTCGCACGCGCAGGAGAGTTCGAAATTTATTAATTATTATATTGAATTAGCAACAGTTTACTGATCAATTTCCTTAAGGAGAAGAAAGAGAAGAAAATTCTAGCAATGAGCGAGTATAAGGTCGCAACAGGCCTGATTTGCTTGACCCGCCTATGGGTTACCGACTGGACAAAGCTATGAAGACGCTCAATCTTCGCCACTGGATCGGATGGAAACAGAGAGTAAGAAAGGCCATAAAGTTATTGAACAGCCAGTGTACGACCGCCAAGTTGCTATGACCTGAATGGTAATATCGCTAATAGTACAAAGACCAACTCAACCACAAAGTCGTGTTACTAACTGAATCGTTGGTCACTCTTCCGTCAATTATGACTTTTTCTCTAAATTCAGATTTACATTTACAGCATGTGCTGATTTTCAAAAAATTATCAAGTGGGTCAAGTCAAACTGTAGCTGGAAGGCGTAAGCAACAGAGTGAATTACCACCAAGTCTTCAATGCCTTTGTATAACAGCACAAAAATACCATGTAACTACTATTCGCAGATCATCGACCAGCTTCCCATTTTCAGCTGATTGCACTGCAGCACAATGGGGTGAATTCACTGCCCAATGGCGATAATAGTCAATTAAAAAAAACATTCCCCACAAAGCGCTCGCGGTGTGAACCCTGCACTACTACAGTGCAAAGGTGATTATTTATCTACTGTGACATACCCTTCTCCACTCTGATAAACATAATACGGAACTGCGTAATTAAGCACCGATTATTGTGAAAAACCCTAACAAACGGCATTTGAAATGTCATAAACTGTTATCTGCAATATATTTTTTACTTCATGTAGATCACCTATCCCTCTTGTTTGCACTAGCAGCAGACAGAACTGTGAAATGAACATGCTCTCATCTTGGGGTGGCAACTGGGACAGCATTCGGCTCAAAAACGATTTCAAGAGCTGAAATTCGTGAGGAACAATGGGCTGTAAAATAGGATAGAGTGGTTGTCACCTTTCTTGTTCTTTTAGAGTACATAACCAGTAAGATCACAGGAATTAACCCGCACAAACCAGAATGCCCTTGCCACGAGATATTAAGTAAAAGTTTCATCAGAAGTTTAACATAAAATATGCAGGGGAGGAAGATATTTTATTACAAACCCAAACGAAATGATGAAGAAACACTGTTCGTAGTTATCATGAAGAAGACAACGTCTACTGCTATTCCGTTCGCGTTCTGACCAGCGGTCAACATTTTGATTATAGTCTGGATTGAGAATTACGTTATTAGTTTTGCCATTTAAAAGAAGTTTGAGAGATTATCACTATTTCAATATACACGTATAAATAAGAACGCGCAAACGGGAAAACAAAAAACTGATAATAACCTTCAAAGGCCATTTCAGGCTAGTGTGTGACGCAGTTCTAATGTGAATCAGAACTCGTGCGAGTCTCCGCCCCAGCACCATTGAATAATTATCGAAATGAATCAACTCTACCGTCAAACCTAGAAAAAAGTCACATGCACAGAACATTTAAATTAGAGTTAATAATCGAAATCGCAGAAATACGAAAGAAACAAAGGCATCCCACAAACTGGCTACCATTTTATTATCAATCGAAACATTTTACAGATACAGACAAAGAACAAATCACAAAACATGGCAAAATATAGATAGGTTTGAAACAAAATAACACGAAAATGAGAGAGATAAAAAAACACGGAGGTTGTGTTAATCACACCTCCTTGCACAAAGTGTAAAACATGGCAATCGCGGAAATGCAAAACTTAAAACAGAGTACAACAGCAACATTAAAACGTGTATAAGGCAGAAAGACAGAAATACTCATTTCCTAAGACAAACTTAAACTACCGGACATTTCCTGAAAAACGACCATTTTTCCAAATCCGGCTGGCTTCAACGAACAGCGCAAAGCGCCGAGATTTCGACTTCGGGTGCGGAATGCTCTGTGTTGATTTTTCGCTATTTTCATGATACTGCAACGAGCTGGACGAAGACTTGTAATCCGGCTTTGCGGTAAATGAACTGTACCTGATATTCTGCAGGAATTCACAACTTCGGGGTTTCATTAGTGGTTTCGTCCAATCGTTCAGTTCGCAAAGCATACTGAAAGTAGTGACGAAAGGATATTTTGCCGAAAGCATGACGGTGTCTAAATAACGGCGGAAAGTGCCACGCATTCGTGGAACCACTTGCGGCCTTCCCGTCTGCGACTGTCCTGGACTTTTCGTCTCCTTGCCACCGCCACTGCCACTGCTCATTGTTCGATGGTCGTTTTCACGAATGCCATTACCTGAGTCAGCAACTTTGGACGTGCTAACATTTGGCACGCGACTATAAGCGTTGATGCCAGATGAAGAAGGTGGATCCGAGTCATCGTCCGTATCAAAATCTTTCTTCACAAGATGCGACGTAACAAAGCCTACAGCAGATATGCAATAGAAGACAAGCGATTTAAAAAAAAACTAGTCATTAACTTCTAAGCTATCTCCACCATCAGCCAACGCACCTTAGGCTTCATCCTAAAGGTATGTATGATGGAAACTGAAACGCGGTAGCGTAATACGACTTTGATAAACAATATACCGCAGAGCTGCAATTCGTTTCAGTTATACCCCTAGAAACTCGCCGAATGTATTGATAAAAGCAGTTTCTGTGACTGCTTGTCGTCAGCGCTGTCTCATCATGATGTCACAACTGTCACGAGCGAATACAACGCCTAGATTGGCGTTGAGTACAGCACATGAACAAGGGTATTCAGATGTCAGGAACTTTATACTGTGAAAAACAACGGAAAGTGAATATTCACTGGGAAAGCTTAAGTAAGCAAATCTGAACGGGGAACCTACTCTCATCTAGAAAGTTTCGCAAGCCGTGCTAAAACAGTTATGCAACAATGCGTAACTGCAACTGTGGCGGGCTTATAAGCATACCAAGACGACGTTCTTCGTCATCACTGGTTTCGCTTGAGGAACAGCTAGCCGAACGACGGCTCGGATGAAGTGCCTTATCGCGTAAGCCAATGTCATCGGTAGGGCCGTTCCGGATCAACGACGAACACCCTGGATTTTTTAGCAGTCTCGCCCCGTTTTCTTCTTCCTCTTCGCTGATCTCCAGAAGTTGAGGTGAAGACGCAATCCCTGTCAGTTTCCGAGAAGATGCTGATCCGTGACCACGGTACCGTTGTAACAACGGTGAAATGCGATCGTCCAGCGGAGACATATTCCGACTGTCGGTCGGTTCGTGAACGCCTTTGGAAGTAACTGACGCACGTGAGCTCTGAGAAGCCAGATCCAAGTCGAGCGAAAGATCGTGCAGCTGAAAAATTCAAATAACGCAGTAATACGTAAATGTGGACACACATAAACCACACGTACCAAATAAGACGACCCGCGTTTATTAATGAAGAATGAACTTTCACGCGAGGAAGTCGAGCCAAATCGCTCAATCGAATTAGACGCCGAGGAGTCAGAGCTATTCTGATCTTCCGCTTCTTCCTCGGACTCTTCCCTAACCACCGAACATTTGCGATTTCTAATATACGACCCTGGCCGAAAGAAAGACGAAGAAGTCTCTGAAAGGACACCATTACGTCGTGGTACCGTCTTTGACGCATAGGATTCCGTTGGATTCAAAGAACATTTCGGTGTGAGCAATCTTCCAGGTGATGGCTCACTAAAAGCAATATCAGTACAATATGTGTATTTGCTATAAGGTAACAAGCAATACGTACAATGGAAGCAAACAAACAATGAATGAAACAAGAAGTCCAATCTAAGGCTGAGACTGACGAGAGAAAATACGAAACTTGTTTAAATAAACGTTTATCTGTGCTATGCGTGCCAGTCCAAACCTAGGTTTCCGTATTACAGACTACAAAGTAAAAACTCAGGAAAACTCAAATAAAAACGCGCATTTATATTCCTCAAATTTCACGATGAACACTCAGCTGGGCGTCTGAAACGAGGACATATGTGCACGGGCACCGTCAGTTAGCACATACTTCGCTATACAAAGATAAGACACAAAAGATGCTATGGCAGACTTGGCCACATATGCCCAGGCTAAACGCATCTCTAGTTTGTTTTATCCGCAATGTTCACTCTGTCCAGGTGTCATTCCATATTAACTGGAAATATTCTCCTGGAGATGCATTTACGATTATGAATTTACCTTAATGGCAGGTCAATTAGATCTGTTAGGTCAATCAGAATTATGTACATTATCAGCTATGAGGTTCGGTGAAAGTAGTTCGCAGAACGAACAAGCTGTAGTTTGTTGTGAACATCACCTTGAGCCGTTTTTAGCAACAGAACGTCTCAAGTTCGTCTTGCTCCCTTCATGCCCAGATTTTCAACATTTTACTTTGAATAGGTCACAGATCGTTGTTTAAAAAACATTTCATATCTGAACACATTACTGCCTTTATCTTGTTCATAAAAGTCGCATGTTAACCAGAGTCAGCATCTGCCTCGTAACGGTTTTCGCACAGGCAATTAGTAGGCTAAAGAGAATGGCCTATTTTCAATCAATTTGTTAAACAGGATGAACAACCTTCTCCTAATCTCACAATCTAATATTCAGTACAGTGTCACAAAAAAAATCATGTAATCCATAATCTGATTATAACATCTCTCTCATCAATCCTTGAAGTCGTTCGTCATAATTTAACCGTGGAGTTCCCTTCACGGAAAGCGGGCAACTACCAAAGTACGCGACGACAGCATCATAACAAGACGAAGTATAGCAGGGGCCATACTCCTGAACTGCAGCCGTGGAAGGGAGGCATTCTCATCAACCTGAAATGGTCGTTTAACGAAGAAGCGGTAACTAGGGTTGACAAAGCTTTATAAATTGAAGGTATTCTTATCTTGAAGAAAGACAAACCGACAACAAACCTGGAAGGAACAAATCCGCTTTTATCTTCATTTGTTCACTGGCAGCTTCTGTCATCAGGTGCGATGTAAACTAACACTGTCACTAAGGAAAGGAGCGCTAATCTGAAAGTACTGCTGACCATACGGCGAATGCATTGTATTCAGAATCCATACGGATGGCGAGCGAACTGCCCAATACTGATGTGCTATTTCGCTGTTGGCAAAATTGTTCATGCCGACGGTATACGGCCATTATACCACACCAATGGTGTTAGAACGACTTTCAAATGTTGACTATTTTTTGCAAAGTTAACTGAGTCTCAACTGTCGCAGGTGTGATCAGAAGGGGTGAATTAAAAATTAACAAAGCAGGATTATGAAAGCAAGTCTGAAGACGACGGGCAACGATCAATCTTATTACTGCCGCGGATTATTTAGAAAATTAACGGCATGACATTAGACTACAGACTTTTAAAGGTTATCCTCGTCCGAATCATATTTATCACCTATTGAGGTGCAGCAGGTAGTTCAGAGTTTAATTTGAGGCAACCTGCATCAACTGAAATTGCTGTCTGTTGAAGGCACCCGACTACGTTTGAACTCATCGCTGCTGCGACTTCGCAGTTATTTTGTCAGTACTGCTTTATGCCTGATTTTAAAATATATTAAGTATCTGAATATCAGGAGTGACTGGAAAAGTTCATTTAGACAGTGCCCAACTACTTCATGCAGCCAA